AAACATTTGGAAATCAATGTAAATTTTCTAAAGCTTACATTACGCTATATAAGTTTTATATTCCCAAGACACTGTTGACAATTTGAGGATATAAGAGATCTAAGATGATTACCTTGGCAAACATGGTTACAGCCCATTCCATATTCAGGGCACTGGCAAGGAGGCCAGCTGTAGTCACTCCAAGCTCTCGTGCCAACACTCCATTCACCAGCTTTCCACCGTGACTGTCTGGGTCTGCACCAACTGCCAACAGTCTTTCTGCTTCTTTCTTGTTCCCTTCTAATACGGCCTTGAACAGATGGCCACCAAGCTGACAGTAAAAAGAAAACTCTTAGAAAAGAATATACTCCAAATGAAAAAGCATATTGCACAATTAACTACATTCTACACTCTACAGTTAACATTTTCATGCTAGACTATCGGAAAGCTTGTGTGATTGAAATGCTACTGTAGTATCTTTCATCATAATTACTTACTAGGTTTTTACTGTGTTGTGGCAATTATCCCGTTTGTCGGCATCGAAGTCAGAGTCACTCATTAAAAGTTTCAGCACTTGCGTGTGACCCTTTTCAGCGGCCACGTGAGCTGGAGTCTGTCCCTCCTCGTTGGTAATATTGGGACTGATCAATTTCAGCAGAAACATCACCACATCCGCTTGGTTGTGAGACGCTGCAGTGTGAAGGAGTGTGCATCTGCTCTTGTTTTTCCTCACAGCTGCTCCTGTATCTTGTATTAATTCCTGCACTTTTACCACATCTCCATCTTCCACTGCTTTGAAGAGCTGACCCTATTGACCAATAATAATTTGTTGAACTTTCGAAAACATTTGGAAAAGTACTAAAGCACAATGAAAGCCAAAATATCAAATATGTGATATAGAAACAATTAGCTATGCCTACTAATGCTTACGTTACCTTTAACTTGAAGACATGAAGTGGTGTGTGATTAGCGATGCGTTTAGCCAATCTGTTTGTTAAACTTCGAGTATAAATGCAGTGTTTGAATGGAGTCTTCGTCTTCTTCACCTTCATAACATTAACCTGGGAGAACTTGGACTTTCGTGGAGACTTTGGTTTCCCAACAAGTGACTTTTGGGGCATGGGCATTTGGCTTATTTTCGAACGCAGTTTAGGATCTGCAGGACAATTTCTTTTCCCACAAATCGAACACCTGTCGCCTTCAGAAGTTTTTCTTCAGCAATAGCAACTGACACCTGCTGTTGATCTGGCACAGATGAACTCTGAGACATTTTCTCAGCTTCTGCAGTTGTTACATCTGTGGATTTCTCACTGGTAGTGGTTATTTTCGAACGCAGTTTAGGATCTGAAGGACAATTTCTTTTTCCACAAATTGAACACCTGTCGCCTTCAGAACTTTTTTCTTTATCAACAGCGATTGACACCTGCTGTTGATCTGGCAGATGATGACCTCTGAGACATTTTCCCAGATTCCACACTTGGAACATCCATGGATTCCTCACTGGTCATGTTGGCATCAGATTTCTCTACCTCTTCCTCTGCTACTTGGCCTTCTGACTTATCTTCATTAGGCGAGACCCCGCATTCTACATTTGTTTCTGTCATAGTTCCTTCTGATGGAGCCTCAGGTGGCATGTCTTGTGTAATTGGTGACATAACCGGTGAAATAAGAAACATTTCCTTTCCTTGCTCTCCTGTACCAATTTCCTCTGCTGAAACCCTAGCTCTCTTTTCGAATAAATCCTCAGATTCTCCCTCACCAGATAGGTTCCTCGACCTCTTCAGAGAGATTCTTTAGACGGGACTTGACTTGATAGAACCTCCACTTCTTTGGCGGAAATGTCTCTATTTGTGCTGCAGAATCTTTCCATCGGTAGTTCAGGCGCCGTTTTATTTGACGTTTCCTTGATGAAATATCTGAAGGCACATTGCTTGATATTTTCTCTATCTGGTCATTAAACATATTTCCTGATACTGAAGTCTTCATGCCACTGCATCGCCTTATTAATTTGAATAACGAATCTGGCGTCGTCGAATTTTCTTTCGATTCAGAAGAGAAATAATCGCTTTTGGCTAAATCTTTATCTGATTTTGCTTTGGGAAGCAAAATCAATGAATTCTCAGACATTTCCCGCAGTAGAGACTGACAGAACAATGAGTTGGTTCGAACAACTTGAGATCGAAGAGCAGTCTCTTCCTCCAGGGGAAGGTAATCCTCCGGAATGTAAGGTGGAGTTTTGTCAGCCATGTTCTCGGGGAAAGTTTGCTGAGAAGGATTGGCTGTGAGGGCGACAGTGCAAGTCTTCTCCCTAATGTTTATTCTTCACAGTGTATTCTGCAAAACACAAACACATGTTAGTTTCATCTACACCTTTTTCTAATTACTAAACAGAGTAGGACTAATTAGACTTCTGTCAAATGTTTGTTCTTACTAATAGCGACATGTTATTTCCATTAACGTTTTATACATTCAGAATCTTACTGATACTAGCACTAATTATATCAACAGAGAGATGTAGTCTACAGTATATACAATTTCATTATACAATGTATTTCAAGGTCTATAACATTTTTCCTTACTTTCCGAACTTGTGCTGATATTTGTTTTCCTTTTGGGATTTTAACTTTATCCTAAACGGGAAAAGTATACATACATCATACATGGATGCAAACAGGCACATACATAAGGATAGATGTAAAGAAACGTGAACTGTATAGAATGATAGATAAAGACAGGGATAGATAAGTATATGATAGAAATAGATACATGTTTCTTTGCTGTAATGTAAAAACGTGTATTTTTACTATGTGTATGTACATTGTGTTTTTGTGTTTATATGTGTGGTACATTTTTTCTACCAGTTGATAATAGCAAGTAAACAGTAATCAGTCATTTAGGCCTTTCTGCAACAAAATTGATCCTGATATTTAAGTATGTATTGATTATGTTATGAATATTCACTGTCCTTTATTCACACAAAATATCTAGATAAGATAGGTAGATACTTAGATAATCGATAGCTAGATATACATGTACCTACATGAATATGCATGCTTGTATAATATCCACCTTTGTTTTACATTGATAAATTTATGACTATATGGTTTTGAGTGGGTATACGTATATACATTACTTTTTCGTAAGTGTGTTATATTTATATATGTTTCTATACAGTTTATCACATTTCTTCCCGATGTGCTAGCGACACTTGGAAACTCTCACGGGTTGAAACCTGTGATGCTACGTCACGATTACGTCACTGATAGAGGTTAAGATGCCGTGAAAATCTCTATGATATTTTTTGTTACTGTTAATCTCTCTCTTAATTATTTTGTTCTCCCTCTATCTACTCCTTCCACGCTCTATGCTCTTCCCTTGTTATTCTCCGTCTTTCATTGCCAATCCCCCTTTTCTCTTTTCCTACTTTCTTTCTTGTCCTTTCCGGTTCTCTTTTCTTTTCTTTTCTTTTTTTATTCTCGATTCGCCTTTCACAATTCCACTCGTATCTACTGCATATCTTTCTTTTTCTTTCTTCTTTCTGTATCTCATTTTCTCACCTTTCATCCCTCCATTTTCTTTAGCTCCTTTCCTTCTCTCCGCTCTCTCTCTCTCTCTTTGTCTCTCTCCCTAAAACCATTTCCCTTCTCTCCCTACCTTCCCCATCCTTAAATTTCGTTTATGATGATATTTAGTAAACTGATTCACCCCAGAGAGCTCTTGGGAAGAGGAAAATCGACGCATAGCAGACTCAATGAAAGTTATGAGTCAGTATACATCACTCAAAGATACGAAAATCCAGATCGAAAAACATAAATAAAAATAAGGAAGCTGTATAGACTCGGAACGTATCCACAGCAGTCATTTTTTTAATACATGTATCAATTATAGTTTAGCATACTCGGTAAAGGTCATCGCATGAATTTCTCATTGGAAAGTACACGCATGCAAGTAGACTGACTTAAGGCAGTTCACTTGGGAATTCTCCGCTGAGATCACCAAGTTCCTGCACAGCGCTCAAACACAAGTTCCCTTCTCGCCGTAACACACTTATTGGAATATATGTTTTCAGGTCACTTATGGGATTTTGTCGAGTTATGATTATTTCGGTAACGGCACATTTTTTGTGATTTTTTCTAGAATGTTAAAGAGGACCAAAAATACATTTCTTTTCATATCATGGGGAATTTCGTCGCAGACTTTGGTCGATTAATTAAACAACTGAACAAAATAGCACCTTTTGTCAGTGTTAGAAATTTTTTTGACGTCATTTAGCCGAGCTCTGTCTCTGACATTCCAAAGGATTCCCTTGGTCTGCTCGCGGGGAAGCTCTCAAAATATAGTTATGTTAACCCAGTAGCGGATCGTGTTCAAAATCCTTAGCGACAACATTTTTCTGGTCTTTTTCCTCTGATGATTAAATTGCTGAGACTGAGTGTATATCAACTGTACATACATATATATACATATATGTAAATACATATATACATACAGATATATACATATATATGTATGTACACAAACATACATATATGTATGTTTGTGTACACAAACATACATATATGTATGTATATACAGACACGCACCCACATATATACATTCATTCACATATTCACATACACATACACACGCACACACACACACACATACACGCACACACACACAAATATGTGTGTGTGTGTGTGTGTGTGTATTATGTATAAATGGATGGATATAAATGAGTGTTTATATATATATGTGTGTGGTGTGTGTGGTGTGTGTGTTATATATAATATATATATATATATATATATATATATATATATATATATATATATATATATATATATATATATATGTATATGTATATAATATATATATAAATATATAATTATATGTGTGTGTGTGTGTGTGTGTGTGTGTGTGTGTGGTGTGTGTGTGTGTGTGTGTGTGTGTGTATGTAATGTATGTATATATATATATATATATATATATATATATATATATATATATATATATATATATATATATATATATATATATATATATATATGCCCGCCAATTTATGCATAGACTGTATATGTGTATGTGTGTTCTTATCAAGTTGTTTCAGTGCTCAGAGGGTCCCGTCTATATATTTAAATTGTCGTTTAACTTTTTAAAGTGTGCACATTTTTATCACACACATTGTTTTTTGGAAGACTGTTCCATGCTCCAATAGTTCTGTTTGGGAAACTATACTTTTGACATTTTTATTGCTTCCTTTTACTTCCAACCTTTAATTGTGTCCTCGTCCTTCTTGTGTTCGAGATTATAAGTCATCTATGTCTAATCTCACTCTTCTTGTAACCTAGGTGAACAGTATAATCATGTCGCCCTTTTCCTTCTTTCTTCCAAAGTAGTAAATCCTAATTCCAGTAGTCTATCTTCGTAGCTCATATCTCTTGGCGTAGGTGTCCATCTTGTGGCTTCTCTCTGAACTCTTTCCAGTTTGTCTATATCATTTTTTAAGTGTGGACTCCATACCACTGTATCGTACTCTAGCCTAGATCTTATGGTTGCTATAATGAACTTTACCATATCTTCGTCCACATACACGAATGCCTTCTTCATGTTGTCAATCAGTCGTAGCATTTTATGGACCTTTCATTATATGATCATTTCGGCTTTGGTTTCTGGTTATGATTACCCCAAGATCTTTTCCCTGTCAGCTGTGTTTAATATTGCGTTTCCTAATTTATGTTGAAATAGTGGGAGATTTTAACTTTTTCTGAACCTGACTACGTGGCATTTATTGGTATTGAATTCCATTTTCCAAGTACAATATCACGTGAATAAGTTTTCATTGTCACTTTAGAGGTATTGACATGAGAGGTCATCTATTATCCTTCTTTGTATTTAACTGCCTGGGCTTATGTTTGATGCAAAATCATTGGCGAAAATAGTAAACATAATCGGCGCCAACACCGATCCTTGAGGCACTCCGCTGGTTACTCGTCGCCATGTAGAATGCTTCCCTCTAAATGCTGTGATCATCTGTCTTTCATGAAGAAAGTTTTTTATCTATTCAAGGAGTTTGCCTTTCACTCCACCTAGGTACTTGAATTTCCGTATTAGTCTTCCATAGGACACTTTATTAAAAGCCTTTTTAAAATCTAAGTACACACAATCCACCCACCAGTCTCTTTCTTGTAACATTTCAGGAGGAGATTCGCTACACATGACCTTCCTTCAATAAAACCAAATTGTTTGTTTCATATGATTTCGTGTTTTTCAAGTACCTCAACCCATTGTTTGCTAATTATCCATTCTAACAGTTTGCATTCTACACTAGTTGACGAAACTGGTCTATAATCTAGATTTTTGTTTGTTGCCGCTTTTATATGCAACATTAGCGAGTTTCCAACATTTTGGTAGTTTACCTTGTCTCCCTGAAATTTGGAATATTACCAATAAGGAGTACATAGTTCTTCGGCACATTCCCTAAAAACCTAGTTAGTAATCTCATCTGGTCCTGCTTTGGTCTTATCTAATCATTTTAGTAAATCTTTTATTTTATCATTTTTGAGGGTTATATTCTTGATGTTCTTTTTTACGTTTGTACGGGTATTTGTCATATTAAAGTATGGGTCCTGAAAAACACTGACTGAAATTTCTCATTTAGGATTTCACACATTTCTTCCTCCTTAGTATAAACGATGTTATTGTCTTTGATGGCGCTAATTTCGCCTCTCTCATGGTTTGGGTATATTCATTTCTTCCAACTTTATATCTTCCATACGCTGTCTGAGATTTATGTCTTCTGAATCTTTTCTAATGGAGCTGCTTGCTTTCTCTCGTTTTTTTGCATTTGTCATTGAACCATTTTTGGCCATTCCTTGCCTCAGTTTTGAGTTTTGATATATGTTTTTCAATTTTTTTTAATATTGAACATCAAGGTCTCATAGACAAGAAGTGTTTTCCAGTTCATATCAAAGAAATCGCTTCTATAGTTGCCTCTCTTGTAGTTGTCCTCATTCCTTTCTTTACTCACGATGAGTTTTTTTCCTGTAGCAGACAGTATTTGAGTTTAATTACTACATGATCGTTTTTTTTTTCCCTAAAAGAGGACAGTAGTCGATATCCTAAATATGATCTTAATGTTTTGTGAATATCACGTCAAGCATAGATGGTCTGTCTAGCCCTCGTATGATCTGTTACATGCTGGAAAAGGCAATACTCAATTATGACGAAGTAATTTAGCATTCCCAAAATGTGGTTCCGTTCTGGGATCGAAACTTTCCCAGTCAGTTTTGCTTTCAAAATCCCCTGTGAAAAGTTGTAACACTTCTTCCAGGCTCTTTAATGAATTAGTTTTGGGTAATTTTCATATGACCACACCGATGTATGAGGTGGCATATATACTGTGAGTATTATTATGTTTACCCTGTTTGTTTCTACCTCAATTGCCTTCATTTCGACTGTGGAGTCTTGCTTAATTTCTAATCCTTTGGAATAATTCCTTTCCTTGTTAATATCACTATCCCCCCTCCATTTCCATTTGCCATATCTTTTCTCCAAATATGATAGTCTTTGAGTCCTAATGTTACATCGTCTTTCGAGCTGGTTCGGATTCAGTGATGGATATCATATCTGGTTTATTCTTTCAATTATTATCTAGTTGTAGCAACATCCCTTGCTTGGAGACCTCTCACCCTCCAAGTAACAAGTTTTTTTTCCTCTTTAGTACTTAGTTCATTTTTGTTCTTTACCTCTTCCATTTTTTCTGCAGTGTTTCTCTGTCATCCTTGATCAGATTTTCTTATATTCTTCATGGGTGGTCAGGACTTTGCCGTTCTTTATTATATCAGTTACCATTTGCAGTTAAAAGAATGTTACTTTTAGAGGGCGTTTCTTTCCCTTTTCTAATAATCCCAGCCTCCTGCGAGCTATGATATTCTGCATCGCGAATTCGGGATTTATGACCTTGAGGATATTTATAATCCCTTTCTTGTCCTCGTTGTATCGTTCAGTTTCATCTTCTACAACTTTTTCTTCATGTCGTAATATGACTATATCCTTATTTACATTAGCCAAATTAGCAATACTCCTTGTATGTTGCCCAAGGTGGGATATGAATTAATTTTTCTTTACCGTCTCTGCAAGCTGTCTTAATTTCTTCCGTTGTGATGTTTTATTCTATTCTTTTCACCATTTCAATTACTGTCTCTTTTACCTGTGATACACTGTAGCTATTATCTTTTTTGCTTCTTCCATTATCTGAACCTGGCTGCTTGACAAATTGCTTTCGATCTGTTTAACAGTTTCTTGTGTTTTCATTACTTTCTTAACTTTTCTTACAGAATCTTTTGCTTCGGTTTCACTACCGTTGCCGATCTTGGTTTCTGCTTCTTCAGAAGCAGAAACACACACACACACACACACACACACACACACACACACACACACACACACACACACACACACACATATATATATATATATATATATATATATATATATATATATTAATGTATGTATATCTGCGTGTATATGTGTATATATACATAGAGATATATGTACACAAAGGAAAACTTCATAATAAATCTGGAGGTCTGGGTATTGAAAAATAGAAAACTGACGTCGGATGTATTTACGCAATATTTACATAGTGTGCCCCTTAAGCATATGAATATGGAAAATAAATGCTTTCATAAATTTTAGAAATCCACTTCATATCATGTGCAACTATTTTCAAGAATTCACTCCCTCATAATTGTTATACTTCTGAAAATCAGACAATGATTAACCAAGTTCAAAATTCCCAAAGGGATGTCATTCAGATTACAATGGATTAAAGAAAAACTTTTTGTAAATCCAAAGAGCCTCAACTCGGGTGACGAAGAAGGAGAGCTCTTGCTGTACTCCTTCAGGAATTCTCGGTAGAGGTCACCGAGTTCCTGCTCAGCAGAATGGTCTGCCAAAGCGCGACACAAGGACCAGCTGAAGGAGGTTCCTTTCCCATTCGGGACGCAGTCGAGACCGATGCTGTTGGAATATATACAAGCCATGTCCTTGGAGAGATCTGCCAATCTCACCACTTTTGGAGATTCACTTCTTGAACTCGTGATAGCTTCACTTTTGAACAAATTGAAGATGAAAAGTTTGGGTTTGTTTTTGAGCTGAGGACATTCGGAATCTTTGAAGAGATTCAAAATGTAGTCTGTGTCTACAAATTTCATATCAGTCGTAAGAATCTTCCTGCCATTAACACCATAGCCAGATATGACAAATATGGCACATCCGACGTCCGTTAGCTCATCACCATCCCTAATGTTTTTCAAGACCTCCTTAGTCTGCTGAACCGTGAGTGACGAGTGTGTTTTACACATGTATCCCATCTTATCAAATACATCTGACATTATGCAAGCATCGTAGTCGAGTTGCTGAAGGTTCAGGTCGGATCTGTCCTTGAAACAACTGAAGTTCAAGATGCGAACAAAGCCTCGTGCCTCCTTGTCCATCTTGTACACATCAGCACCTCCTTGAATTACTGTTGCCCGTCTCACGCGAAACTGTCGTGTTGAGACCTAGAATTCATAGACGTCTGACGTCAGATGATGGAATGTAAAGGAATATACAGTAATAAACAATTTTTTTTCTACACATGAAGGTATATTAATCAGCGTTTCCCTATACATGAAGATTCCACATGTTTTGCATTTAATAATAACAAAAGCCTATAATGAAAGTAATAGAAAGAATAAAAGTTACGCACCTTGATGTGTACTGTGCTTAATGCGGATGATGGCAGAGATTTACTCTCGACGGTTTGGCTGCACCTTTTTGATGCTTTCTAGAATATTAAATTGTCGTGAATTACTTTAAATTCACATTGCATCAGATATTTTTTAATGATTTATTACATATCGCAGATAATCTAAAGGGAAACTTAACATCTAGAAAAATACCTTGTCAAACAGGGTCACGATCGACTCCATGTTCAGGGCATTGGCCAGCAGGCGAGGCGTTGTCACTCCAAGCTCTCGTGCCAACACTCCATCCA